TGGGGCCAGAAGTTGTTCAGTGGGGTCGCCCAGGATAAGTCTCCACAACCGACCTAGCAGGGTCCCCTTGCGCTTGGGGAACGATTGCGATTCGCAGTACTTCGTATAATATTCAACATCCCATCTGAAAGTTCGTAGATCCTGCCACCCTCGGGTATCGACCTCTAAGTGAGGGGAGATAAAGGACGTGCACGCCCTTTATAAGTCGGGACATAACGGCGATTGAAGGACTCTTGGATGTGAAAGTCGGCGTTGATACGAAGTCTTGGCTGGAGCACTTCGACCATTAAGGCTACTACTGACAACGGAATTGATCGAATTGATTAAGACAAAGTCCTCGACGGGGGGTTGGTTGTGAGCGGTAAATCCGATGCAATGACAGAACTGTGCGTCAATCTTAAACTTCGTATATAAAATAATAAGGGGACCTGACAAATCTGCTCCCTGTCGATGTCTTTAATATAAACAGTCGAGGAAACCCTGTTGGCTGGCCTTACGAAAAGGTACATAAGCGAGACATGATTTCAATGAAAAAGATGGCTTGGTCCTGGATTTGAAATCGTACAGAGGGACAATCCAAGGATCAACACTTTGCGAAGTACACAGGATTTCATGGAGGATGCAGTCATCAAAATCGGTAATACCCTGATTAACAATATTCCCGACTGCATGTTGCCCGAGTACAAGTAAACTATGAAGCATGGAAATGCATGTGTTGGGACGTTGCATTCTCCTTCTCAGCTTTCGACCACTCGCGCCAATGAATCATATCCCGCTGTTGTTACCAACGAAATCCGGTGGCTTTGGTTTTGGCGTTGCCCTTGCTGCGACCAATCCCAATGACGGCATTCCCCCCGGCCCGACTGGACTTGCAAAAGATAACGCCCTAGATACCACCAAGGGCGCAACACTGCCCCTCGCATAAAAATCGCACATGCAAGTCAGAATAAACAAGGGCCAAGGGCAACGCCGGTAAACACTCGGGGTGGTGGAAACTTCCCCCTGCCTGCGCACATCTTACAGTGTGCACCAGGCTAGCCCGAGCTGGGTAAGTCAACACTCCGCCTTTTCGCCTTTCCCGAGTGCTGTGGACAGCGGGGAAGCCTGCTGGCCAAGAGCGGTGAGTGTCTCTTGCTGTGCTGCGCTATTATGCGGCAGCCAGCAAGGTACGACAGTCAACGGACATTTTATTTATTCTTCTTCCCTCTCGAGCGGCAGGAAAGGAGGCTGCGCAGCGCACGTGAGACTGTAGGATGCACTCGCTTCCTTGACCCTATATTGCTGTGTTTGGCTGTACTTCGTATGTGTTCTAATAAATTCAACCCATGCCGAGGCCAAACTATCAAGTGGGCAAGTTGCTTGCAAGATCTCAGCATCAGCTGGCTGCCGTGCCAAAGCGAGAGGTGGATCGAAGGTGGGGAAGAGGTGTGAAAGTAACGAGAGACCAGGCGGGACCCGCGTAGAATAGCGGAATGGGGTAAATAACTGCGAAGAGGTAGAAAGTCTGCCCTTCAACCACCAGGTCGAACCCAAGGTTCTCGTTGGGCATAATAGTCTTCTTTATTGTACAGGACGCCTGGACTGGCCAGTATAGTGGGGGCGTCACGTTGGCCGTCCACGTTGGACTTCAACGATTGGCGACATTGTGTGGTTACAAGGGAACCGTCAAGCAGGATATGAAACATGGCAACAAATGGTGGGGTATAGGATGTATAGCTTCTCTGGACACCAGCCAGTGTGTAACTAAACATCATTTTCCGTTGAGCACTAGCTGCCATTCGGCTCTTGATGTCGTGATGATCCGCGGGGGTTGCAAATTGCCACTGAGGGACAGGATGAGGGGGAATGTGTGGTGCGGCAGTTAACCAAGCTCCGAGGCACCATAGTCTACCACCAAGGGAAATTGGAGCCTCGGCCTCTGTTGAGGACACCGTCCACCCCAGCCGGAAGGCCGGGGAAGAGGGACCACCCGCGTTTTTGGGTAACCCCAGCTGGTCTGTGCGGGCAGAATCCCGGAGTCGGAATCAGGACCTCCAAACGCGTTACGTCCAATAAAAGGTTGTTTGATTGTCTTTATCTATATTGTGAGGATTCCTTCCCTCGGACCACATGATGATTCGGAATGGAATTGTCATCTGGGAGCTTTGACCAGGCGGTTCAGTCATTGGGCTGAGACACACATCTGTCACGTTCGGAAAAGGGGGCCACAAGGACCTACAGGATGGGAAAAGATGGTGAGGGAGTGCGATAAAGTCCTGAGGCTGCCACATGACTCTGGCGATAGGCCCTTATCGATTTTCGCATGGATCAACCAAACAGATTAGAGATGGAGAGGCTAGGCTTCCACTTGGGCGGTTTCTAACATTTGGTAGGTCAACTTCGTACTTCGTAGTGAGAGAAGAGCTTCTCAGAGCGGCGGAGTAGCGCCAGAGTGAAAGTGGTTGTCTCCGAAATCCTGTTCCGGTCGGATTTAAGCAACTGAGATGCTGACAATGGGAGATGGGTCAGTCACGTCTTGACCTGTCCTGTCAAATGACTCGATTTGGAACCTATGACGTAGACAGCGCTGACATCGTCCTGCTCGTTAATTTCCAATTGTATTACTTACATCTACCACAAGCTAACCAGGTCCCGTTTTGCGGGAATCCTGCCTCGTACTCTGGGGAGGAAGGACTGGGGATTCGGAAAGTGCGGATATTACCAATATGCTGGGGATCGGAGGGTCCACGGGATTCGGGAGTTAGTTGGGAAGGGCGGGACTTCTTGATGGCCGCTAAATCTCCGGGGTCTAGGCCTACAGTATTTCTATCTATACCTTGTAAACTACATTGACGGGCATTCTGATTTCGGCAATGCTTTCTCTCGCCAACATAGTGTCATCAAGTGCCATCAAACAGCATTCAATTTGTTACAACTACGAAGCAGGTGCGCTAGCAGGGTGAACTGCCAACATGTGGGGACGGACAGGGAAGCAGCGACCGGTAATGCGGTGATGAGATCATGGACGCTCGGACCATCTAGATTCTCCGATCGCCCTTCAACATCGCTCAAAAAATAATTCAACATCACCAAAACGTGCTTACCAAGCAATCAACTCCTCCACAACCAGCTCAACGATAACGTTTCCTCCCTCAATTCCGAATCCAATTCGCAAAAAGCCAAGCGTATGGGCCAATCATGACAGTGCAGAACGCAAGGGCGGGCATAGCTCGCCTTTCACGGCGGCTCCTCTCACTCTCCGGCCCCGATGCCGCCAAGTTCCTGCAAGGCATGATGTCGGCGGCCATTCTAACCCGCGACGGCAAACTCATCCCTAGGGACGGAGCGGTGTATTCTGGTTTCTTCACGCCGCAGGGGAGGGTACAGCACGACATTTTGGTGTATCCGCGGCCGCCGCAGGATCGAAGCCAGGAGATGCCGGATTACCTCGTTGAGGTGGATGGCAATGAAGCTTCGAAATTGGTGAAGAGGCTAAGATTCTACAAGCTTAGGGCGAAGTTCGCGATGAGGGTCGTAGAGCCGGAGGAGCTGAGCGTTTATCATCTTTGGGATGATGCAGGAGGACAGGCGATCAAGTCAATCGAGGGCAAGTTAGGGGAAGGCGAAGTGCTTTCTCAGGATCCTAGATTGGCTGCTCTGGGGTACCGGTTGCTCGCCAGAGGTGACAAGGCACCTGGGGTGGACCTGGGAGAAGTCGGCGAGGATTCATATCGCCTTCGGAGATATCTACAAGGCGTAGCGGAGGGCCAGGATGAGATTCCTATGGAGCACGCCCTTCCGCTCGAATACAACATGGAACTTCTCGGGGGAGTTAACTTCCAGAAGGGATGTTACGTCGGCCAGGAACTGCAAGCGAGGACGAAGTATTTGGGGATAGTGCACAAAAGAGTACTGCCCTGCGTGCTGTACGATGGACCTACACCAGAGGCGCTCGAGTACAAGCCAGAGACCGACGCCGTATCCGCGACCGATATACCCAACGATACCGCTATCGACAAGATATGGAAGGAAGGCGAGAAGCCTAGCAGACGAGATAGGAAGCCCGGCAAGTGGATAGCGGGCATTGGCAATGTCGGAATCGCGATTTGCAGACTCTCCGCCATGACGGATGTGGTCCCCCCTCACCCCCCCGATATGCCGATCAATCCGACTTTCACACCCGACACCGAGTTCAAGGTTGATACGACTGACGGCAAGTCTGTGAAGGTGAAGGCATTTGCGCCAGAGTGGTTGAGGCAGGGTCTAGTTGGTTACCGAGACTAAGGAACGGGACTCGGAATGTACAAAACAGCTGTGTATATTTTCTGCATTGAGGAGGAGGCGAAGAAACGAAATTTCATGACATAGAGATCCCCTCAATTCTACAGGAGCTAGGAGCTCACACACAAAAGGGTCATATCAAGGAAACACATCAAAATAGACACCACGACTATTATCCACTCTCCATAGCATATCTTAACCCGCGTACGTTCGTCGTGTATATCTATCTAAATGATGAACCATATAGCCTAGTGATTATTACGCCGCTGGAGAGGATGATTAAGAGCACATGTAAACAAGGGCTCTAATTTGATATAAAACACTTCGTTTTGGAAATTTTGCCGGGGAGATGAATGAAGTACAATATCGGAATGTCGAAAAGCAAGGGCAAACACTAGGCCTCTCACATATCTCGTACATAGCGCAAGTCGATGGGTCGATAGACAATTATTATCAGATGGCGCCTGAGAAACTGTCAAGATCAAATTGCCACTGGTTAATCGCCTCCCGTTAAAATATAAAAATAGAAGCGTTCAATCGCGGTCGCGCCCCAAGTCACGTGGAGCATAGCTTTGATGAAGCTACCATGGGACATGCATTTTCAGAGCTCCGTAGATCCGAGCTCAACATTCCATCTGAGCGGCTTGCTTTCAATTTTTGCGGCCAGCGTCTCATCTCGACGACTTCGACACCACATAATCACATCGCCCAGTTTACGCGCTTCCCAAACCGTCTCCAGAATGGCCGACAGCTCGAAGAACGCCCCGAAGGAGGCGAAGAAGGGTCCATCCGGACTCAAGCTCGTCTACCTCATCATCTACAACCTCATCTCTACTGTTGCGTGGCTGGTCCTACTTGCGTGCACAGTTTCCGTCAACGGCATGGAGGGGCCTTCATTCGTCTACTCCGAAATAGGAGACTGGGTGCGCTGGACGCAGACATTAGCTGGCCTCGAAATTCTTCATGCCGCATTGGGTATGCCTTCGTTCTTCTCTCACCCTCGCTAGGAGGGAGACTGTAAGCCTGCTAACTCGGGAATTGTGTTGCTCTAGGAGTCGTCCGTTCCTCCGTCCTGACAACTGTTATGCAAGTCGCCTCCCGGTACCTTCTCGTCTGGGGCATTGTCTACCCCTTCCCAGAAGTCGCCGATAGCCCCGTCTACTCGACTATGCTGTTCGCATGGAGCATCACCGAAGTGATCCGATACTTCTACTTTGTGCTTACTTTGGATGGATATCAGCCCGATAGACTCCGGTGGTTGAGGTACAACACATTCTATGTGCTCTATCCCATGGGCATCTCCAGTGAGGCGTGGCTAGTGTACAAGGCTATTGAACCAGCGAGGGCTTTGCACCCTCTTCTCCCGCTGGCGCTTTATGCTATTCTTGCTATCTATGTTCCCGGTGAGTTTCCGTCTGCGCGATTCTCAAATGCTTTGGAAATGAATAGGCATGCTGACTGGATTTGATTAGGGTCATATATCCTTTACACTCATATGATGAAGCAGCGGAACAAGGTTATGAAGTCTTTGAAGGAAACCAAGGCGGAGTAGTTGAGCTGACGCCATAAATGTTATGCTTTGATGAACAGAAGAGGCCGGAGAAGAGGAGCTCCGCCTAGAACATGAAATCTAGATGTAATAATACTTGGTATCTTTGTGTTGATATATTTAGATTATTGCTACATAATGTAATACTATGGATGCATTCGTTCGTTTCCAGAAAATATCGAATAGCTTTCATGGTAAATGACAACGTCCGCCCATCTCGAGGCTAAAACAATACCTCCAGACAAATCCTCCCCTCACAAGACTCGGGAGATGAAGACGAAATTCCTCTGCCGTGGTATCCAAATTTGGTATGAGGACATTCTCTCTAATTCATTGCGGCATCTCCCGGTCGGCCTGCGGTTCCGAGCTCGACTCATACCACTCATTCCTAGTCCAAGTCACGACGAGTTCTGTCGCATCCTTTAAGAGAACATTATACCCGGGGTTGTTATTCGGCTCAAACATACCTGTGCATTGTTAGGAGCCATTGGCACTTGACAATAAAACGGAGGGGGCGATATATAGAACCTACTCATATGCGCAATCGTCTCGTCGGACGCCTTATCATTCACAGCCTCCTTCCACGTCCCCGCCGCCATCCGACTCGGCAAGTTACAAAACGTCCTCTGACTCCCAAACACAGACCCCGCCACGCCCGGCACATTCTTCGATCCGGCGGCCTGTCCAAGCCTCGTGTACAAGTTCGCGAAGCCGAAATCAAGCTCCTCGGACGCGCGCACCAGATGCGCCACCCTCCGCTTAAGGTCCTCGGCGCGCGCAAGACACCCTACGAACTCAAGATGGGAAGAAACCCATCCCAAGCCCTGGGTGATGTTGTCGCGATTCACGTATGCCGCGGCAGAGGTTGCGGCGAGGGCGGCGGCGCCCGCGCCCGCGTACATGGCAACACGGCCCCATTTGCCCCAGCCGCTTTGGGCCGGTACCGCGGCTGCGGCGTTGTCGACGGGTGGCGCTGGCAGAGCTTTGAGGCCGGTGGAGGAGGCTGAGGTTGCCGTTGTGGATTTTCCGGTACCCCAGAGGTTGTTGATCTGGGCGAGGGCGTTGGTCGCTGTGTTGTAATGACTTTCGGCGCCGTGGGCGACCACGCCGGGTGAGATGCCGAGGTAAGGGGTGTCGAAGGCAAGGACGCCTTGGATATAGGGAAACATTAGGCTATGCAGAGATGGGGAGGGCAGGTCTTGACCAATGGTCTCTGGAAGGATGGGTTTCTCAGAAGTGAGGTTGATGACTGTGTCGGCGGCGACAATGCCACCCATGGAATGGCCGATTAAGATGGTTCGGACGGAAGGGTCAATAGTGGGTGAGGCGGTACCGGTCTCAACTTCAATATCAATGACCTTCTCGAGGAGCCTGGATGAATAAGTTAGTGAATGACTTCTCGTGTAGAATCGAAGGGGAGTTTACGTACCAATCGCGGAAGCGGCTGACGCATTCTCCCAGATCACCTCTGGTCTCATATTTCGGGTAGACGAGAACCTTGACATTTATTTTTGGTAGTTGCTTGGCGATACTATCGCGCAGGCTACGGGTGAATTGGTAGTCATCGCCAAAGGTGGACTCTCCGCCCTGTCATGAGGAGTTCACACTAGAGTTAGTCCTTCACTCAAAAGCTGATGACGCGGGGTAGATGCGACGATCATGGTGGGGCATGTATTCAGAGAGACGAGTATGACGAACCTTGAATCCGTGGATAAAACATAGCAACAGGGTCTTTTTCATTTTTGCCGGACCATGAGGAAGAGAGAATAAGCAGCAATGGATGGGCGGATGGTGATCAAGATGAGTGAGAGGTACAAGCTACTTATGGAGTGGCAAAGAAGACGGCGAGGCTTCGCGTTGCGGTAAGCTAGAGAAAGGCAGCAGTCACAGCCGCTGTGGAAACTATGCAATCGTCTACCATCTATTAATATAATGGGGATATCTTGAAAAGTACTTCGTAGATCTCGGCGCAATTAAAGAAGCGCATTGTTTGAAGGAATATGGCAACATCTACTGCGCACACAGTTTAACCTTGATTAATGCGCTGTAATCAGATGCCAGGGGCTACGTTGCATGTGCCTGACCAGAGTTTCAACTGCCATCGCTGCGGGTACTATTATCGTCTATGGGGTATCTAAATCCATCAAACGCCTTGCTGTAAACACTTTTGTGGTTGGTAATACAAGTCGTGAAGCTCCCCCTCCTGGTTTCCTTTCTAATCTCGCTTTGAACATGCCCAGTGTGCGCCTTCACAGTAGTAATCCGTGTCGCAGATACCTCATCCTTCTGGGTAATCCTAGCGTTGTCGTAGGGGGCACCTAAAATTGGCGGGGATCGGGGGCGCGGCTCGCTCCCATGTCGGCTCTCAAGTCAGACCGAGAAATCGTGAGTAAGGTGAAGTGTCGCATCGTCTCAGATCATTCAAGTCATGATAGCGTCCGCTTGCGCCTGCTTCCGCTCGTCCCTCTCCTTCTGCCGAGCACGGAGCTTGGCCATAACTCCGGCGACCTTTTCCTCATAACTTAGGCTGGGATCCGTAGAGTAGTAGTATGACGCGACTTTAGGCGTCGGCTTCTCGACCCCTTTCGCGGCGGCCTTATCGGCTTTCTTCTGCGCCTTCTCTGCCCGTCGTTGGGCCTTGGCAGCCATCTTTGCCAGAATCTCAGCCTCTTGTTCATCAAGAGACGGTCCCATCCTTTCCTTCTCCATCCGTTCTTTCCACTCCCTATCCTCTTGCTCTCTTTTCTTGATGCCTTCTTGTCGCAGCCTCTCTCGCTCGCGATCCAACTCTCGTAATTTTTCAGCCTCCTCCTCCTTCTTCAATTTAGCCATCTTCTCCGCCGCTTCCAGCTCATCAATATACCGGCGCTTTTCTCTGTCCATCCTCTCTCTCTCGGCCTTCTTGCGCGCCGCTGCGCCCATCGCCGAGTCGTAGGCCTGCCTCGCAGCAGGCTCCATAAGGATGTCCTTTGCATGGCCGATGCGCTCATAAATGACGGGGTCGAAGGCTTCGCGCGTCTTGTCTGGGTGATGCAGCAGGTTCTGGCGACGCCAGCCGCGGTGGATTTCTTTGTCCGATGCATCGGTGGCGACGGCGAGCAGGTCATATAGATCGATCTCTTTTGTCGCATAGTCCTTAGCTAGAGCTAGGAGTTCGTTGATGTTTCGTTGTTCAGACATTTTGTCTGATAATTTGGGGTTTGAATTTATTGTAGTTTTGTTTTTGAGGTGGTGATCGCGAAGTTTGGCTGATCCTGGAAGTACATGGGTGTGGTTGTTCACTGGAAAAATGCCTGGTGGCGGGGGCGTCTTAGTGAGCTATGTAAGCAAAGCCGATATTTTGATGGCTCCTTCCCTCACTCACTCTACCTCACAGTAACTCAACAATCCATATCAAGTGACCTCACAATTCTCCAGCTTCAGTTTTGGCCTTCCTGTCAACTATATTCACAAAGCAACATCGGCTGGGAGGAGCTTTGAAAGTGTAGGTCCAGCCATTGATCCTCCAACATTGATGATCCAACCGTTTGGAACAATCCTTTGATTCTTCGCGTTTCAAGCCCGACCTCAACATGGCACACCCAACGCCAAAATGCAGACCCCGAGTTCCTGCAGTGTTGCAGGATTGTGTGACAACGGCACAATGATGAGAAAAGGTGGGGAGGCGATGACTACAGAGAGATATAGCGGTTGGGTTTATATGCGCCTGGACATTTTATATGATAATATGGATGCTTATTTCTGCTTTACCCTTCTTCCCACGGATACTCGTATTTGAATTCCACGTTGATATTTTACATTTTGCCTTTGGCAGTTAGCCAACTAAGTAGTAACTCGACCTGGGGTTTCGGAAAAGGATGACTGCCTCCTGTGATGGATTCGATGGCTACCTGTGGCCGGTAGTTCCCCCGTCTTGTTATGGAGGGTTTGACTTCACCCTTTTCTTTGAGCAAGCTGTGCTTGTTATACCACCCTCCGTCCTCATCCTGCTTTCGTGCCTCGCGCGTTATCGTCGCCTATCTCGGAAAGAGCTCGTCGTATCTAAAGATGCGCTCTACGCCGCGAAGTTGGTAGGTCACACGGACAATTCTTCTCCCGATATGTGCACCCACTTACAAGTTTCTGGAAAGGTAAATGCCTCCATATACGTCTCATTACAACTGGCCTTCTTAGTTTTCTCGAGTCTTCCCCCTACTCCACGGACGAGACTATCTCTTCCATCTGCAGTACTATCTTTCGTCGCAGCGCTTACCGTCATCCCCTTATCACATTACGAGCACACTCGCTCACGCCGACCCTCTTCCATCCTCGGCATATTCCTTTTCTTCACCTTCCTCTTCGATGTTACTACCACACGCAGTCTGTGGCTGCGGGACCGCCCTCTTCGTCTCTGCGCAGTGTTCGCCGTTGGAGTCGGCGTCAAATTCATCCAGCTGGTCCTCGAAGCACAGAAAAAATCACCTGTTACAAGATTGGAGAAGAACTACTCCGAGGAAGTGAGCGGAATCTATTCGAGGTCTTTTTTCTGGTGGCTTAACCCGTTATTTCTGAAGGGGCTGCGTAATATCTTGTCGCTTCAGGATCTCGACGACCTTGGGAGGGACATGTCGTCAGAGAGACTCGGAAATAAGATGATGGAATCATGGAATACTTGTTGGTGTCGATAGCTCTTTCACCTGCTGTGTCAAACCCCACTAACAATGAATGCACGACTATAGCAAACAAGAGCAGTAAATGGGCTCTATTTACGGTCATTTGGTCTGCTCTCAAAGGTCCCTTGCTCCTCCCAGTAGTTCCAAGGCTAGCCCTAATGGGCTTTTACTATGCGCAGCCGTTCCTGATCAAGGCGGCGATCGGCTACATCCAAATTCCAGTTGAAGAAAGACCTGAGAACCATGGCTATGGTTTGGTTGGAGCTACTGTGATCATCTACCTGGGGATATCTGTGAGTTATGACGTCGCCTCGGCGCTGGAACCGTGGAGAAATAACAGACAAGAGCTAGATATCCAATGGATGGTACAACTACCTCCTTCACCGCGTAATTGCCATGATCCGGGGCTCTCTAGTCTCCGTCATCTACCGCCAGACCCTTCGCCTTTCTTGTGATTCCGCTAAGTCTTCAGCAGCACTAACGCTGATGAGCACCGATGTCGATCGGATAGCGCTCACAGCACAAAAGGCATTCGATCTTTGGGCATGCCCCTTAGAAATCGCCGTAGCAGTTTTTCTCATGGCGCGGGAAGTCGGCTGGGCCTGTGTTGCCCCAACCTTACTCGCCCTGGGTGGGTAGCCGTTCTAATTTCCCAGAATAAAACAGCGCGACTATTGCTAAGTCTGCTGTGTCCTTAAGTATGCACGGTTGGTAGTTCGACCATCGCCCGCTTTATGCCTGCGTACCTGAAGGCATGGAACCAGGCTATCCAGACTCGAGTTGCCTCGACGGCCGCCGTTATCCGTAATATGCGCTCAGTCAAGATGATGGGACTCGGCCCAACCACTGGGAAAGGGCTTCAGGATGCTCGCGTGTACGAATTGGAAAAGTCTGTGAAGTTCCGGTGGTTCATTGCCATCATGAATCTCCTAGGTAAGGTCGATAGGATCCACCTTTGCGGATGACGAGTTAATTAGAAAACAGGTGCTGTTCCCAAAGAAATCTCGGCGCCTCTCGTATTTTTAATCTTCTTTTATTCGGCTAAGTACAAGTCTGAAGAAGGCCTAAGCGCCACGCGGGCCTTCACCACGTTGTCTCTGCTCGAGCTACTAACGGGACCATTGACGAACCTTCTGACTGCAATTCCTTCGTTTACAGCGTCCTTCGGGTGCATGGATCGAATCCAAGATTATCTCTTGCGTGATGGCCAAGTTGAATTTCGGCGTCAAGCACAGTTTTCGGTTAGACATTCCATTACTGAGGGGAGTCTCCAGGTCGCCCCTCACGATGCCAGCTTTGGAAAGCCGGGTTCACATGCTCAAGTGAGGGGATCTCCTGCAATTTCCTTTGCTGACGTCACCCTCCGATATGGGGGCGATGCCGCTGTGCCAATTGTCAAGGATATGAGTCTCTCGATTGAGAAGGGGTCGCTACTTATGCTCGTTGGAGCTGTTGGCTCGGGCAAAACGTCGGTCTTACGATCTATCATTGGAGATCTCGAGCCGACATCTGGAACTCTGTATCTGGCGGACACCGAAGTTGCGTACTGCCAACAGGCTCCGCCTTGGCTTGTAAACGCTACCATTCGGGATAACATCATCGGCCCTTACGAATATGACAGAAAATGGTATGACACGGTAAAAACTTGCTGTGCGTTAGACGAGGACGTATCAAAGTTTCCCAACCAGGACGAGACGCTTATTGGATCCGCTGGGCTCTCACTGAGCGGAGGACAGAAACAGCGCCTAGTAAGTCTACTGGATATACCTAGCGAGCTTTCTTCCAGACATGGTCAAAACTAATAATGGCTATTAGGCACTTGCTAGAGCTGTATATGCAAGGAAGAAAGTTATAGTCCTGGATGACGTGTTGACTGCGCTTGACTTTCATACTGAAAAGAGGGTATTCGCCGCCCTTCTTTCGAGAACAGGCCTCTTTAGACAATACGGGACGACTGTGGTTATGGCCACCAATACTCGTATGTCTGGGCTTTGCACCTTATCCAGGCAAAGGAGACCGCTAATATGAAGCTCAAGCCTATCATCTTCATTCCGCGGATCAAATCGTTGTCCTCGGCAGAGATGGGCCTACTCTACAGGGAATACTTGATGACTTGAAAGCAGTGCCAGGATTCGTGCAGACTCTCCTCAAGAGGCCTTGTGGTGAAGCTGACGGAATCGGCCCTACAGAGCCTACCCCCAGTCTCAGTGGAGGAGAGGGCCCAGTCCAATCCAACAGGCCAAGAAATGGACCCGACCAGGCGGCAAATCAGGGGGACACGGCTAGGCAGACCGGCGATTGGGCATGTTATTCATTCTACTTTAAATCGATGGGAGTCTGGAGAGCGGTAGTGTCGGTTGGAATCGCAACTGTATTTGCCTTCTGCTCCAAGTTCTCTCGTAGGCCCGCCCTTTCAACCCCCAAATTCTACAGCTAACTAGAGTTCCTCACAGAGATCTGGCTGCACTGGTACGCCGATGATCGAGCTATTGAGATCGGGCCGTTCATAGGAGTTTATTTCGCATTTGGATTGAGCGCCCTTGCGTTTAGTCTGCTCTCTTTCTAGTAAGTATGCCCTTTCCTAGGTGACTCTGTCTGATGAATTATTAACATTTGCAGCTGGATGATGCTCGCTATCCTCCCTGTCTCTTCAGCTGCTATGCATCAGCAACTTCTAGATGCTGTGTTTCGGTAGGAGTTGAAGCCACCTCTGAAAGATGGGGATCTCACTAACAGGGTCATAGGGCCCCTTTGTCGTTTTTCACAACTACAGACTCCGGAGTCATTATAAATAGGTACTCACTTATTTGAGATCGTCTTGAACCAAAATGTTGATACTAATAGCTCTCTGGCCTCTACAGGTTCAGCCAAGACATGGCCTACGTCGCAGGCATACTTCCTGTTTGCTCCATGCGGGTCATTACAAGTAAAATTACCTCCAATGATACTTGACTGCTGGGAAAAGCTAACAAGGTTGTAGCAATCCTTCTTTGCATCACCCAACTAGCCCTCATCTCCCTCGGCTCGGGTTACTTCGCGGCCATCATTCCCTTCCTTATCTTCTGCACATGGGCCCTACAGAAAGTGTATCTCCGTACATCCCGCCAACTCAGGCACCTTGATCTAGAGCAGAAGTCACCGCTCTATACAGCTCTCACAGAAACAATAGAAGGGCTAGCCACCGTCCGTGCTTTCGGTTGGCGCCACGCCTTTGAGCGCAAGTTTAGTGAGCGGTTAGATGACTCTCAGCGCCCGGTCTATCTCCTATACTGCATCCAGAGATGGCTGAACCTCGCGCTTGACCTGCTTGTTGCGGGACTCGCGGTCGTCCTTGTTTCATTCGCAACGCAGTTCCAGGGCGGTGGTAGCATGAGTGGCGCGGCTCTTGGTGTGGCGATGGTGAATATTCTTGGGTTTGGCCAGAACTTGGCGCAGTTCATCTTTTTTTATACTGAACTTGAGACTTCGCTTGGAGCTGTGGCCAGGGTCAAGGAATATGTGACTGGGTTGGCATCGGAAGATGATGAATCAGATCAGAGAATGGAACCGCCAGCGGATTGGCCCTCCGCAGGAGCGGTTAGGATTAAGAATATCACTGTGGGCTATGAGTATGTTCCCATCTTTATTGCCTGCACCGGTTCTGGAAATATTCTAACAGTGTATAAAAGTGATGGTCCCCCAGTTCTGGATGGATTTTCCCTTGAGGTTGCGCCTGGGCAAAAGGTCGGGATTGCCGGGCGTACCGGGAGGTGAGCATGCCCTTTTCATCCCAGTCATCTCGGTTGATCTTGATACGCTGAAGCAAACCATTTACTGACTACCGTAGCGGTAAATCCACACTTTTCCTAAGTCTACTACGCATGCTTAGCCTACGCTCAGGACGCATCCTCATCGATGGTATCGACATCTCACGCATCCCATTGCAAACCCTTCGATCGAGCATCACCACCATTCCCCAGGATCCATTCTTCCCACCTCATGCAAGTATCCGAGAGAACCTAAGTGGAGGCGCAAGCCACATAAACGATGCCGAATTAGCATCAGCTCTGGAAGCAGTGGGTCTCATGGCGCACATCACTGCGACAATCTCGAATGCAAACAAGACTGGGCCCACTGAGAATCGAGGTGTTAGTGGCCTTGCCCGGGAAAACCCACACCAGCAGCTAGATTCGCAAACACTGTCTGATATTCTCTCTGCGAAAATGGAATTGCTGCCTCTGTCAGCGGGCCAGCTTCAGCTCTTCTGTCTGGCTCGGACCCTTCTACAAGATAGCAAGCTCGTCCTCCTTGACGAGGTTACTAGCGCCGTCGATCATGTTACGGAGGAAAAGCTCAGGGATGTGCTTCTGAGAGGCAAGAATTCCGCGGCAGAAGGCCCGAAGGGAGGAGTCACATCGCCCTTGGCACGACTGAGAGGCACGACGGTCATTATGATTGCGCATCGGGCAGAGATGCTTGCCGAGTGCGATGTGGTTGTTGACCTTCCCTCACGGATGGGGCCATGAATGAAGCCAAAGTATGTAACTGGTCCGCAAATAAGCGGTGCGACTTTTGCGCATTGGTCCGGTGAGCGCAGTCGCCCGTCCAGGTCCGCTTCGACAACAGGCTTATCCTTCGCGAAATTTACCACAATATCAAACGGCAAGAGAGCTAAGAAACTAGGAGTGCGCACAACTGTCGTCTTCCATTACTCGTTGAATTGTACGGCGGCGGGAAATTAAATAATCCCGGCGAGCTTGTTGAAGCATGGTTCTGCAAGTCGATTCCTTGTGAGCCTCTGCGGCGGCTCGCTCGCAAACCACGGGCAGTACATGACGTATTGAAGGGCTTCCCCCCAACCAAATTGGGCGCGGGAACAATAAAGCACTTGAATAGCCAGGGGTGCTAAGGACTCGGGGGATGGTAAGTTTCAAGCCAGGATTGATGCAATCGGAAATGGCCTGATCACTTTGCGGCCCAAACTATCACTTGATTTTGGCCGACCAAAATTCTTGTGAGGCATTCCTCCGGCACGCCGAGACGTTCTGCTTCCTGAGACTGATGAGAGGGCCCTGCAGAAAACTGGTGGTTCGGTGATGGCCACCTGCGTAAGGACAACGCAAATGTTGGCAACTCGAAAATTGCCTTCACATTTCTCCCTTCGGATAAGCTTGTCTACATCGTAAGTTTAACCCGGTTCGTGGTGAATGATGCTTGTCGCAATTCTGAGAATGACGAAATAAAGTGATTGAAGACTGTGGTAGCGCCTCGATGCACGTGATGGGGGGTGGCTTAGATTAGTTGGCGTTTGGTCTGTGGCGATACCGGAATAAGATATATCCGATCATCATTTCTGGCCAATAAGATATAATACAGCCCCGCTCCATCAGAGGTCCAAGTATCTGTGTACTTCGTGTACGAAGTAAACTACAACGATTATGTCAATGCGGGATCCCCAGAACAGTCCTTTTTTCGATGCCTGCGAGGACCCTTAAATTTACGTCTTGAGATCGTTTGGACTCGTCAACCTTCAATTTTTACTTTCCTTGCACACTCCCAGCTGACGATGATCACTGCCGCTGTCCACAAAGGTGCGGTGGCATTATAAATTTGCAAATTTCTGTTCTTCTGTCGAGGCAATCTACAATCTCCCTAGCTCGAAGCTCTCCTCCTCAGCTTTCCCAACATCACGCGCCATCACCAACCATGGCATCTTCAACGCCCGCCACCTCCAACGACGCCACGGAGCAGTCCCCCACCCCACTCAAGCCTACTCAGTCTGACGATGTCGATAACTCTAAATCAGAATCGCAAGATCTCGACAATATCTCCGAATCTGCATCTGAAGATGGCAGGGAGCAAGGCGAGGTCTCTGAAGAGGATGCCGAAGCGCCCCCTCTCCCCAACGAACCTCTACCCGAGACCACCACAAACGGCGCTCCTCCCTTACCAAACGAACCCGTACCTACACCTGAAGATGATGGCTGGGACTACCGCTGGGACCATAACCTCCAAAACTACATCTTCTTCAACCGCTTCACCGGCCAAGAACAACTAGAAAATCCCCGCGTCCCCTCCGCCGCTGATACCTCCGCCCCCACATCCGCCGCCACCGCCCCGGCGACCGAAGTCCCCGAACCCCCCGTCATAACAGGCTACAACCCCGCCATCCACGGCGACTACGACCCAAACGCCTGGTACGCCAAGCTCCACGAAGACCCATCCACATCCTCTACTGCAGCCGCACCGGACGCGTCCGCGATCTACGAATCAACGGCGTTGTTTAATCGTTTCACGGGTCAATTCCAAACGGGCGATCAAGGGCCCGGACAGCATAGCGACGAGGCGAAGGCGAGAAGGCAGATGAATGCGTATTTCGATGTAGATGCCGCGGCGAATCAGCATGATGGGAGGAGTTTGAAGGCGGAGAGGGCGGGAAAGAAGCCTACGAAGGCGGAATTAAAGTTTTTCAAGGAGAAGAGGAAAGCGAGGAAGGAGGAGAAGAGGAGGGCTTGGCTAAGGGACTGAGTGGAGTTGTGCAAATAGAGAGAAGGAGGGTTTGCTTTTGTTTAACTTGGATGGGGGCAATTGGTGGCGCGGTTGCATCATTTGGAATCGGCGTTTTTGATACTCTGCATTTTTTTCTTTCTCTGGTTTTTCGAGCTTTTAGTTTCTCGTCTACAAAGTAGATTGGTTCGCGGACCGGTGTGGAATTTCGCATATGTCAGAGGGCTAGAAGAAGTTATTGAACTTCAGTTGTACTCTCTATGCATTAGAAGAGGAAGACTTAGTTAACCTGGGTGGGTGTATAGTAGGCATGGATGATATACAGTGAAGACTACATACAGGCGAAAGGGAATGCCAGTGTGGCAAGACAGAAGGAATATACCCAACTTGAATTCAATAATCAATTCATTTTCTACGCGTACTCCTCCCCCCTTCTTTTTTTTCCATAGCTTACTCTGCCTCGTCCATCTCGGGATCTGAATCGAAGCTCGCCACAAGTTGTACACTCTCATCATCCGAATCATCATCCTCTGCCGCCGCAGGGGCAAGAGTTGCCGGCGCATTATCCATCTTCTCATCCATCGATATGTCACGGTGTATCTTCTTCACAGGTTTAATTTCTTCAGCTTCATCGTCGCTCTTTCTCTTCGTTGCCGCGGGGATGTCCTCGGGCTTCCTGGGTGCAAACGGATTCTCCTTAGGACCGGGATCGACGACGGGTACCGCTTTGAAGGCAGTATCCTCGACTAATGGGGGTGATACCTCGAGCTCATCGGCCATTTTGAAAGAGGATGCCGTGGCTACGGTATCTTCAACCGCCATCTCAACATCTTCATCTTGATCTTCTGAAACTTCCTCGGAAGGGGCTTCTTTGAATACGGAGAAAGAGGAGCTATCTGAAGGTTGGCTTGTGCGCATGTTGCTGCGGAGGACCTCGAGGCCTTGATCATCGGGGAATAGCTGAGAGTAGAAGGGGAGGATGCTAGGGTACATTTTGCTCTGCTTGTTTCGGAAGGGATTGAGCACGCTCGCCATCATGGCATCCTTGTTGTGGGAGAGAATGGCCGTCTGGTCGAGAAGAGCGCGAAGGGCTGGTCGGATATGGTGCTGGGGAAGATGCGATAGTAGACCAGTAAGGAGGTTCTCGGCTGCTGAAAGATGCGGAGGATCCAGACGAGGGGATGAAGTAGACGCCTCATCGGTCTTTTGAGAGAGGAAAAGGTCAGCGTTCATGACGACCCCGTTCTTTTTCGCCTCGGCGGTAGGCTGGGCCGCCGGTTTGAGGTAGCCGGCTTCTTGCTGGAGGTCGCGGCAGCAGGCTCTGATGATGAGATCGAGTGTCGACACCGTCTCTTTAGTCATTGTTGGGCCGCATAGCGGCAGCATCTCTGCAAGGAGCCTGTAGCTGCTACATCGTATCGAAGCGTTGCTAATTCCGGACTTGAACACCCTCACGAGGTAATCAAGCGCCTCCGGCACAACGGGAACGAAATTGCCGCGAAGCCGTAGGCAGAGAGTCAGAAGCAGCTCTAGTGCAGCCACATGGATAAGTGGTATCGCGCTCCATAGCTCGTCCCTCTCCTCTCTCGATACGGCGGGGTTAGTTTCTAGGGCTTGCTCCCATGTCTGTGATTTAGGTACGTGTCTCGCGATCTGGGCCACACGACAGACAGCGTCAACGAGGATACCGACAGGAATCGACACTTGGCTCTTTGTCGGTTGGAGAATGAATTCTGCCATGAATCTCAACAGGCCAACAAGTCGCTGGCTACCAGACGTAACGCCGGACCAGATCGGAAGGATATCGGCCGAGTCGCCTCCGCCCTGGGGCTCTTCCCCAAAGACGACTTTGGACGCTGTATAACCAAGAGGCGGCTCCCATGTTTCTTTTACAGCGCGGAATACCTGGTCAGCTGTGGAATGGAAATGCTTAACGGTTCCAGACAGAAGGGCAGTCCATTCATCAGAGCCGCCGGCCTTTGGTGCAGTAAAGTGCAGGGCTATAGAGAGCCGTCGGCTACTCGACTGTAGAGTCTCTGGGATGACGCGCGCATCCGATAGAGTTGGTACCAGGTACGGTCGGATAGCAGTACGGATCTGAGAGACAAAGGGGCGAGAAGTAGTTGGGTAAAGGGGTATTATCGCAGACAGAGTAGTGAGGATAGTTTCAATTACTGTGAGCGGTGTACGAAGCGGTTGGTCCGGCGAAGAGGGCTTCAGAAGCTGGAGGCAGGCTGTAATGAATCCAGGAATCGTGGGAGTAGCAATCTCTCTCACAAGGGTCTGGTAGCTATGCAGCTGCGTGAATATCCTCGCCAGTGCCACCACAGCCAGCTCTTTGGACGCAATTGGGTCCTTTTTCTATGATAAAAGTCAGTTAACAGTCCCACCAACCATCCGTGAACTTAGGGATTCAATACCTGAAGGACAGTTATAAGACCCCTAACCCAAGGCTCAGAACTGCGAAGACACTCCCAGCCACCAACATCTACCACAGCTTTTACGAGGACCACACCTGTAAATCTGCGCCGGTGGTCACGGTCGTTTAGAAGAGTCTTGAGAGCGGTTTTGAGCTTGTGAACCAGAACAGCAGCCTCAGATGCATTGTCTCTCAGTTTGCTGTCCTGGGGAGCTGATAGCGCATCGGCGCATTGGAGAACATGGCCGGTGAGGACTTGCGCGGACTGAGCTAGGTGAGCAGAGGAGATTTTGGGTGAAGTGAGCTGGTGGCATAGGACCCGAAGGTCCGGTGGTAGAGACATTGGGCTGGCGTATGAGCGGACGTGTGAGCCGGAAATAAAAACTGGGAAATTTATGTATATAACTGGTCCTCAAGGTGAATATCTCGGTCAACTTGCTCTTCAAAGGGCCACAAAGCTCAAGGCGTGGACGGGTGACGCTGCTGGATGTTCTGATTCTGTTTCCGTCCCGATATTGACGGGAGCTGGAATTCCAAGAGTTGGATCGAGGACAAGGCTACTTCTTTGGTTTATTCGCATTCCCAATTGTTGCGACGGCAGCAGCTCTGTGGCATTCCGTGGTAGGACAACTCAACTTAGATTCAAGAACTTTGAAGCTTTTTCCAACGCTAGAAATCGATCAGAGGTTGATTTCCATTTACGGTTTAGCGGATTTCTGACTAATCATTAAACCGCTTCAGTTGCAAGCGTTCACCGCTTTTGAGGATATCTCCGAAGCACAAGTGCCCTCTTGTCCCCAACTACCATGAAGTCCAAGTTGTCAAGTTTTCACCTGGCTTCTGTTTCTCTGTAAAGCACGTCTGCAGGGTCGTGTTTCTCTCCACCTGTGTCTTGAGTGATGGGGAGAGGGGGCGATTCCACAAATCAAGCCTGTCATTGTGTGAAACCAAGTGTGATTGAGTACACAGGTATCTCCTTCGCAATTAGACAATTGGCTGGGCCATAAACAAAGATAGGTAGTTCTGCAATTTTCATCTCGCCGCTAGGAGCTCCTTCGTCCCTTAATCGTCATCATAAACGGGATTTCATCCGCCTTGATAGCAGTCGGCGGCTACGTCATATCCTCCAGGCCAGACGGCTGATCTCTGTTCGCCCCCGGTCGACAGTGTTAAAATCGCAAATCACAAATCACAAATCACACATTGGCATGGGAAAGGTGCTCTTTTCGCCAACGGAGTCGGAATGTTACACAACAACCATTTTCATGCAACCCCAGCTGGTGAAATTGTGGAAAAGCTGCCACCACCAACTTGGCACCGTCCCTGGTCATAGGTGTCATCTCAGTGAAAGAGATAGAAGCCACCTCCGTAATCTGGGCACCAGAAACTGCCGTTCAAAATAGCAGTCACCGCCTCATAGATCAGCACTAACAATTTCCGCGGTTTAGTTGTCTTATGTCGTCGAATGTGGGTCATGGGTCTCCATAGCTGAAATATTCACCGAGAATTGCGTTGGCCAGTGTCCATTCGTATTCCTTCAACAAGAACATGGGCGGCGGGAGACCCAAGTAGTACATGTACAAGTACAGGTACCTCTGACTTGATGTCGGTGAAACCCTGGCAATAAACAAAATTGAGGTCTTGGAGACAACAAGCCACCACTTTCCAGTTCATGGACAACGACTTACGTACTTCTCAATGATACAGCAGAAACGTGGAATGTGAAGCTTCGAGTTGTGTTTCCACTGTTGCCAATTCCTTCTGCACGCCAGGTGCTTCAGAAGCACCCCATTCGACGCGCTTTTTTCTACATTTTATTTTGATCTGCGCCTCATAGCTCTCATCTTGTCGCTCCTTTACCACGAAATGCATTCATCGCGAGTCCTCGTTTAGCTCCTTTCCTCAACTCTCCTGCCCCAAGCCATTCCGCATTTCGTCCACCACGTATCCCAACCTCTGCCGAGAAGATGAGCGTGAGTTGATGTCTCTCAAGCACAGCGAAAATACTGTTTTATGATTAGCGATGTTAACAATTCGGCTGGGTAGCCCCATAAAGCTATCCATTATCTGAGGGCGCTCGATGAAGCTCGTTGCGATGGAAACTGGTCTACCGTCCCCGAACTCGTTCGCAAGGTTCGAAAGCATGCCCCCGAACGATCTTGTATGCAGCGACCACCTCATCCTCTCATCTCCTGCACGAAGATGCAGCATGCTAACAATAACCCACCGCCTTTCTAGGTCTCGCCCTCGTTGCAGAGGGAGAGGCGACCATTTCCCAAGCAACTCTGATGCACGCGTCTTCGAACCGACCCAGCACCGCCCTCACCGTGGAGGACCTCGGCGTCGCCACCCATCTCCCAAAGCTGCTCAATGCCATCGAATCGGAAGACAATTACCTCGAGGATAAGTTCCAGGCAAAGGTCTGCGTCGGCTGGCTGTATTGGGTTGTGGGCGAATACGGCGTGGCCGCCCAGCGTCTCCCCCGGAGCCTAGACGAAGAATATACCGAGTTGGAAGGCGCCGAAAATGTTTCTGATTGGACGAACGTGTGTGCTTTGAAGGCCGCCTATCTAAAGGCCAATTGCGCGGCGAGAAATAATGAGAGGGTAGAAGCACTCTATATCTTCGAGACTGGTCTCCCGGCGCTTACCAGCGTGTGGACAAGCAAGTTCCCGAAACAACAGTTGAGGTACTGGGCCGAGCTATTTTTAACGGAATATTGCATGTTGTCCAGCCAGGCCCTGCAGCGTCGAGAGAGGTCTCTTGAAGATGCAAACTCGGTGGCGTGTTTCCGAACCTGGGCACGATATTGGGAGATCCAATCTGGGTCTTTGCCTGGCGGTCATGGATTTCGGGGTTCCGTACCCAGGAGGAGGATATGGTGCGAATACTACACGGCCCTCTCGCGAATCGTTGAGGATGACCTCCCCTTTCCCACGGGATATCTTGGCAAATTACCTGCCGAACAGCACTCCGCTAGAACGCACCTACGGATGGAACTGAAAAAGGTCGAGAACGCTTACGAGTCGCTTCTTCTGCAAGAAACTCAATTCCCAAGAGCGAACAACGAAAGAGAAGAGGTCGAGGCGTTTGTGAACCTTGTCGTGAAGAACTGGTCCATCATGTGTGGTCGGGGATGGCGGGAATACGATCTTGGTCCAGGCGGTCGGGAGGCTATGAGCCGCGGCGTTCTTGAAATTCTCTACCGAGCAGCGACGAAGACGTATCACTCGACCGCGATCCTCCGCCACCTCTTTACCGTCCACATGGCTGTGGCCGAGTTTGATCTTGCCTTCAAAGCTTACAGCTCGTATCGGGATATAATGACCAAAGCCAAGGCTCGCGTGGAGAAAACCGGCGTCCCGGAGCCCCATTTAGACGATGATGCAACGGTTCTAATGACAATGTCTCAATGCGCTCTAGCCCTCTGCCGATATGGTGACAGGGCGGCGATTGAGAGGGCGAGAGATGTGGCGGCCGAACTGGAAGATTTCCTCGCACGCTTGCCTCAGATACAGTCCGGCGGCTCAGAATCAGGATCTCTTGCCATGCCAGAAATCCGGGAGTCCCCGCTACATCCTCAGATTCCTCCACGTGTCCTGGCCGAGGCATGGCAGGCCATTGGATTATCCCATGCTAGTTGGTCGAGGGTTACCTTTGACTCTCGCTCCCGAATTGAGATCCAGACCAAGGCTGTGAGGTGTCTTCGAAAATCCCTCTCGCCCGAATTTGGCCGCTCGAGGAGTTACCGCGGGCTCTTTGCGCTCAGTCTCCTATTAGCGGAGCGCAGAGAACTGACTCCTGCTATCGAACTCGTAAAGGTGGCTTTGGCTGCAGGGAAGTCTGCTGATGGACAGGGGGATCTAATCCACGGGCCCTACTGGCAAGAACGAGCGCTCATTCCCCTGTGGCATCTCCTTGGGCTTTTGCTCAGTGCCAGACAGGACTACAGTATGGCTGCTAGGGCTTGCGATGGTGCGTTTGAGCAGTTTAAGGATCCTTTGATACTGTTCGGCCATCAAGACCAATCATTCCGAAGCGACCACTTGAACGAGGCCGAGGCTAAGCGCGAGAAACTTAACGCAAGGAGAGCGGTCGTTGACGAAATGGATTTCTTCGAGAAGGAGGGCATCCTGGAGGTGAAGATGACGCAGCTTGCCCTTGTCGAGCTTGTCGAGGGACCAGAAGTCGCCGTTAATGCAAGCCCCGAACTGCTTAGTCTATACACGAGATTGTTCGGAACCGTACTGCCCAAACCGCCTACCCATCCTCCCAAGACTGCTGATGTGCCTAAGACTTCGGGCACCTTGAGGAGTATCAGGGGTAGCCTCTTTGGAAGGTCCTCGAGGAATACCGAGACTAGGCAAATGAGCATCGTCAGCGACACTTCACTGGGATCTGCTAGACCGCAGACTACTCAAACCACAGCTAGCGCAGCGCCGACTATTCAAATTACTCAAGAGAACGGGCAGTCGGTCGAAGTGCGACCGCTGAAGACGCCAACCGAAGGGGCAGGACGGCGAAGAAGTCAATCCGGAAGGAGGAACAGTCTTAGAAAGCGGGATCCTAGCCGGAGCCGGAGGCGGGCAGCTAGTACAGGTCCGACACCACGAACGAGCTTCGCCGCCGACGGGGAGAGCGTGTTCACACCCGATGGTGACGCGCAGTCGGACGTGTTTGCTTTCACTAACAGAAGGCAACCCTCAATTGCGTCGTCATTTTCCCGTGGGAGGGCGCTGCCACACATCGACTCATACTTGTCGGCGAAGCCACGGCCGGTAGAGTACGCGGATATTCCTACCGATGCGTACAACACCATGCCCACGCCGCTACCGGTTGTGCAGTTCTCCAAAGAGGCGGATCAAAGGCAGAAAAATGCCATTCTCGTGAATGTCTGGCTTATGATCGCGGGTTTTTATCGACGGGCGAATATGTTTGATGACTGCAAGGGTGCCATCTCGGAGGCGAACAAGATCGTGCAGGTTATGGAGGCCGAGGCTGCGAAGGACACAACGACGCCCATGACTCTGGGAAGTGCGCATTGGGGTGAGAGGAAGAGCATCGAGGAGCTATGGGCTGACGTGTGGGCAGAGGTAAGACTTTATTTGTTCAATTTTTTTTCTCTCTTCATTTTTTGCATTGCTAGTGTTTTATCCTCTTCTCTTGCTCCTCATCCATTTGCAATCTCATGGGCGAAAAATACTGACAGTTCGTCCAAGCTGGGCAATCTTGCTGTCGCAAAGGGCGAGCCATATGTAGCGCGTGGCGACTTTGAATCGGCGCTCACTTACTTCCCCGATCATCCTGCTGCCATCGTGGGACTTTCCAGCATTCTCCTTGACATTTACACGGAAGAGTTGCTGCCGCCACCAACGATACCTCCACTTGACATGGGCGATTCCATTCTTATCGCTCCAGAAGGGAGAGGCTCGCTTGTTCCAGCCAACAGAACCCCTCTTCCTTCAACACCCCTCGGCCTCGGTACCACAAAGCTCCCGGAAACCACAAGCACCGAGTCGGAAAGTGATGATGATGATTCGGACACAGAGGGCCAGGAAACGCCACACTCCCCCGACATCAAACCCCGTGACGACGACCTACCGCCCCCGCACAAGGCAACGTCCCTGCCGCTTGTGGACCGCTTCGCAGCGCGGGACCGCGCGTACGGCCTCCTCTCGAGCCTGACGAGACTGGGCACCGGCTGGAACTACTCCGAAGCATGGTTCGCACTTGCGAGGGCACATGAGGAGAGCGGACAGATCGACAAGGCGAAGGAGGCCCTGTGGTGGTGCGTCGAGCTGGAGGAGGGAAGGGGAGTGAGGGAGTGGAATGGGGTTGGGGCGGGAAGCTATATTCTTTCTTGAACGTGCATCATATTTAAGCTTAGAGTTGTGTTTTCTCTTCTTTTTCTTCTATCTTTTTCTTATTTTTCGCTTCCCTTTTTAAAACATTCCACGCCTTGATTTCCATCTTCTTTGCATTTCTTTATACCGCCGAGTTAGATTAAGCCACTAGTTAGTTATTCCATTGTAATGTCGGGAGCGAGTGAGTTTGGTACAAATGCGCATATGGCTACGACTAGGTCAAGACAGCAAGCCTGCAAACGAGAAGATGTTTTTTTCAGATGCGTTTCGCTTGGTTCCATCAAGGGGATGTCTTCTTTCTTTTTATTCCCAATTCCACCTAGCCATATTTATATTTCACACAATATTTATAGAATTTATAGAAATTGGTCTCTCGAGAATATTGCGAGGGCCGTCATGTCTGAGAACGGAGTGAGAATGGCAAGCGCAAAACGCCCACGCCCACAATGAAGTCATCACAAACCACAAATTCAACCCCTCCCCCGCCATAAATTTTACAGATGAATTGATTGATCAGTTGGTTGCCATTTCAATTCATCACCGCTCCAGTTCATCTCATCACTCCTTCGCCTCTCTCACTTCTCTACTCTTCAAAGTATCCTAACACAATTCTCCCTCTTCGTAGATTTCCATTATTCGTCATTTTCCCTAACCAACCTAGCCCCGACATCCCCGCTCCTCTCCCGAAACATAAGCCGGGCGGGCAACTAGAAAGATGGACGCCCCAGACACCTACATTAACCCATCCGACAGCCGCGCCTACTGGTCCGACGTCTCCGCCGACGTAAACGGCATGCTCGGTGGGTTCCCTCTGGTCAGTCGCGTAGATCTGATCGGGTCGCGGGCGTTTCTGGCGAAGAATGGTGTTGGGGCGAAGGAGCCTTTGAGGAAGGTGAAGCGGGTTATGGAGGGTGGAGCTGGGTATGTGTTTCTTCCCTCGTCCTTTTTTTTTTCTTTTTTTCTTTTCTTTTCCTAGATATTTTCCTTCCCCCTTGGTGATAATCGTCTTCTCCATCGTATTGTTTCTTTTTCCGAAGAAAGAATCGTGAGTATTGAAAACCGCTCTTCTCTGCCCAGCATCGGCCGCATAACCGAAGGCCTCCTCACCTCCATCGCCGAAACCGTCGACGTAGTCGAACCAATCCCCAAATTCACCGCCCAACTCGCCTCCAAACCCGGCGTGGGCCTCGTTCAAAACGTCGGCCTCGAGGAATGGAGGCCGCCGCAGCCCAAGGACGGGGAGGAGAAGGTCGTGTACGACGTCATCTGGAACCAGTGGTGTTTGGGCCACTTGACGGACGACCAGCTGGTGGAGTATCTCCTGAGGTGTAAGGAGGTTTTGGAGCCGGAGATGGGGTTTATTGTCGTGAAGGAGAATATGAGTACGATGGGGGGTGATGTTTTTGATGATGAGGATAGCAGTGTAACGAGGTGAGTTTTATTATTTACTCCTCTCCTCACCCTTTTTTTTGTCCGTGGGGGATGGGAAGGGTGTTCCTTCGGTGGGTTTTCTTCCCGGCTTACAATTTGACCATCATCGTCAGAGAGGATTCGAAATTTAGGAATATCTTCGAAAGGGCAGGCTTGCTTGTCGTTAGGACTGAGCTGCAGACCGGCTTTCCGAAAGTTCTACTTCCAGTGAGGAGTTATGCGTTACGTCCGATGAAATGAGGTGAGAGGTGGAGATGGAGTGAGAAAAAGGAGCAATTGATTCTCTCCGTTGACGATAGATTTTGTCGATATAATCGGGGGTAGAACGCGCATAATGTCGTTTTTTTGGGAATAGAAAAAGGTCTACAGTATCTCGAGGGCAAGGACTTGATGAATATAAAACTCTTGATCATTGTAGCGAGGCGAAGCCGGAATCCCTCATATATCATAGTCTCAAGAGCTCATTTAAGAATTGATTCACTTCATTCCTACGAAACAAAATGAGTTTTCCGACTTACATAGGTCGGAACTCCTCCATGAACTATATATCTATCCCCTCTACAACTCTCATCTTCATTCCCCTCCGCTCACCATTCAAGCCTGCAACTTATAAGGGAACAGAGGCAGCCCCTCAACCCCAACATCAACCCTAAAGACCGCACCGCCCAACGCCTTGCTCCTCTCCCCACCCTCCGCCTCATCATCATTCGCCGTAGTAATAAACAATTCCGTCCCCACAAACTGCGTGCAGGTAATGTTCCTCGTCGGCAACCTAACCTCCCCCACGAGCTTTCCCTCGGGGTTGATCTTGAGAACTCTCCCTTCTCCGTACACGGCGTGCCAGATGAAGCCGTTCACGTCGACGCGGAAGCCGTCGGGTCCGCCGGAGCCCTCGTGCTTGTAGAAGACTCGCTGGTTGGAGATGCCGCCCGTTTCGACGTCGTAGTCGAAAGCCAGAACTTCGGCCGAGGTGGAGTGCGTGAAGTATAGTGTTTTGTTGTCGGGGGACCAGCCGACTGAGTTGGGGATTGTGAGGTCCTTGATGAGCTCGGAGGTAGCGGTGCCGTCGAAACGGAAGAGACCGCCTTAAAAATTGTCGTGAGTAATACGGCTACATTTTTTTTTGTTCCTTGTTGCGCAAAAAGAAGAAAAAGGCTACATGCCTTATTTACTTACCCTCAGGTTGGAACTCTCCGAGGTTGAAATCCGTCATGGTTCCGAGCCAGAACCTCCCATTAGGATCCGCACCGCCGTCGTTCGTCCGCAACCTCTCGTTGGGAGTCTCGGCCAACTTGGCGACATACTCATACTTGCCCGTCTTGCGATCGAGAATGGCGAGACCGTACTTGACACCGATGAGGATCTTCTCCGCCGGGTCAATGCCCTCAATGTCTGCCGTCACTGTGACGGGGCAGTCGAGCTGGATGGTCTGGAAGGATGAAGGGCCTTCGGTCAGGTTGACGGTATGCACGCGGTGCTGGATGATGTCGACGAATCGTAGAATGTTGGTGGCCTTCTCGTAGAAGGGACCTTCGCCCAGCTTACAGTGGGACTCGAGGTAGGGCTCCTCCACGGTCCAAATCTCGTAGTCGGAGGCGGCCATGATGGATGAATTTAGGTGCTGGCTCTGTTTCTTTTTGTATGTTTTTGGGTCGCTGTTCACCGACGTGATTAAGACTCGCCAATTGGTATTTTAGGGAGGAGAAAAAAAAATAGCTAAAAGGATGCAAGGAGAGGGAAGACACTCATCTATTAAAGTTGGATCCTGTGTAGCTCCCCATTTTTATCTCCCACGCTTCATCGATTGATCGCTTGGCTCTTTTCCCCGCCTTTCCGAGAAACATTGAGCAACCCCCTCCTCATACCCGCTAAGTCAGTCCTAGCCCACCGCGGCACGTCTGTGTGAGGCTCATGTCCACTGTGAATGAAATGAAACGTGTTGCTCCCTTTATCCCTCTTCTGCAGCTACTTCCCGTCCGCCATTCGTGGCTTCCATCAACCCATTTCGTTTTCCCGGCAGATTTGTCGAGCCGCGCAGAGCGGAGCTCACCACGGAGCAAATCCATTTCGACACCGATCCGAACACTATCTGATGAGAGCGAATTGGCCATTTTAGCCATCGAGTTGTTTATCTCCTCGCCATTGCCCGTGGCAACATGATGGTGCGATCCCTCGAGTAGCAGCGACCTTAGCAGCAGCGACCCTCCCGATTCATCACAGCTTCGGAAATTTACAGCCGCCTGTCATGCCAAACTCCCGTATGCAACGCCCTTTTCAGTAGTGCGTTGGTCTACACTAGTCAATCAACCGGACAAGCCCATCCTGTCCCCACCAGCCAAACCACCATGCATGTTTCCAAAGGCGGGGGTGAATGGTCGCGCCAATTATGACGACTAGTTCCAGTCGGAAGACGGCCCTCCGAACCGAGATGTTGGGCCGACCCGAGAATGGTCCCAGACATGGTTGTCTCTCTGCTCCGTCGCTGAGACCAAGGTTTCGGCTATCAACAAGGGGAAAAATCTAGCCTGTTGACGTCAGTCATCCATTAAATTGGGCCCGCCTCGCTGCGCGTTTTGTCTTGGGGTAGATCAACTATCGTCTACGACTTTTGCCAAAAGGAAAGGGCTTGAACAGCAATCTTTGATTTACTTTTCCGCCCATTGATCTTACCCTGAGGGTCGGCTGAGATCTCGAGAATTGAAACGAGAGTAATCTCATCTTGATAGTGACAAACAGTAGCAAGCCCCTGCTGGCCAAAGCGGGTACGGAACAAACGCTGATTGTGCCCCGGTCAAGCCAACCAAACTTCGGCCTGAGAAGAGACCGCGTTCGTTTGTCCAGGCCACTTCCATATCGCCAGTCGATCGCCAAAGTCGACATCGCCGAGGGGGTGCGAGCAAGGTTGAGGGTAAAAGGAGAGGGCTGCGCCGCCGTAGGAACGAAGTTGGACGACTTTAAGCCTTGGCCTCTTCCTGCGAACGAGCCAACGGGCTCATCCTGCCGACAGACTCCTGTAATCCCTCAATATTGGTCAAGGTCAAATACCAGAAACCAGCCACTCCTAGCTAATATCGATTATTGACAGGCGATTGACCGGCATCAATTGTAATTTCCACGCGACATGCCACTCATACGAGGGGCAAACACCGCCCGCAAAATCGCGAGGTTGTTCACGGTCCGTTTCGGCTTATGCAGGTGACGGGACGGCGCTTAGGCGTGTGTGCGCATCATGCGCAGAATATCCTCGTTGACGCTCTTGCACTGGCGAATAATGATCGGAGGCACCCACTCCGCCGTGAGGGGTTGCGTCACTTTGCTCCGTATCTGCCTGCCGCAATGCATGGAGGGAATGTTCATGAGCGGATGGATTCCCAAGACGGATGATACCTGGGGGCCATGAGTGCAGAAAAGGGGGTGCAAAAGACCACCACTGGATGTTGGTCGGATGTACGGGGTATGATTTGCTTGAACGAGGCAAATTATGTACCAATGGTAAGGACAATGCTGAAAAACTTGCCGGCCTCTGCCAGTCAGTCGTGCGTGGTTTTCTATCTCGTCGTATGCATCGGAACTGATTGGGCGTGAGCATGTCTTGTTTCTAGCAAATGAAAACTCATTTCGAACGCCTTCGAGCAACGTCAATCCAGTTCACAGCCCCAGACACGTCCATCCCTCCAAAAGCGCCCGCGTCACTTGATCAGCTGCTGCTGCGCGTATACCTCCCCTGAGCCGGCTCCGACGGGCTGCGGATGGGTCACGGTGGCACATTTTTCAAAGGAGCGCATATGCGAGAACGCCTCCAACTGGTGCCACGTCGCACAGTCGTGAATCAAAAGGTTGGGGGTGAGGGGGGGAATGGGGGCGGTGCCTCCACGTTTGAATAAAGAAATGCTCATATCTCCACCAAAGATCAAGCGCTCCGACGCGGGAATGGAAGAGAGGAGAACACGAGAAAGTGATCTACTTTGCAGGGCGTGGGAAAAGTCACGTTGAATGATGATACTCAAGCCCCGTGACAAGGCGCGAATGTGAAAAACAAGGCGACAAGTCAGAAAGACATCATAAGCCGTGGGGGCCTTTGCATATCACCAGCGATGGAGTGCAGTGTAATCATCCCGGAGCAAGGTACGACGGCACCAATGGGAGTCTGTTTGGCTTCGACATCGACCTCTTTCATAGTTCCATCTGGATCTCAAAGCGCCTGTCTTCGTCAGCGCTATGCGACTCCCACAGCGGTTCCCCAAATAAAGTGAGACCGCGTGAACACAAAACTGTGGAGTATCTTCGGTGTTTGCAGACTGCAAGGCGAGGTCTCTTGGCTGAGCCATCACCAACGTTGTATCCATCGAGAACGGTCCCCTGACTTCGGCTGGATGAAACTGGAGGCCAAGATTGCGGAAATTGGAATGTGCGGGTGGTGATGTACCATGTACTCCGGAATGTGCGGATTCGACGGCTAGCAAATATTCTCCGATGGAGAACGAGATTACAAAGTGTGAATAAGGAATTGCATCTCTGGTCCTGGTGCTAGGGTCTGGTCGCGTCGCATCGTGTCTGGACGGAAGGGTGATCATGAGGACTAAGTTGAGTTTTCGTTGCACATCAAGTGGCGCTCCGAACAGCCTTATGCATCGGCCGCCAGGCACTCCAAGCTGGACCGAAAGGGCAGCACGGCTTCTACCAAAAAACCACTGAGCTTTGGCTAGGTTTCTTGGGTTATTCGACATGCATGAACTGGACGGGAGCTTCCCCAGGTCCGCCTGCACTCTGCCAGGCAGTGCTGCACTAACCAGCTGTGCTCACCATGAGCCAGCCATAGCTCGGACCAGGAGCAACCGGCAAAGGGGCTCGGTCGTGGTCAGAGTGGACGGCGCTAGCCAGCATTGACGCTCTCACGTTCCATTGATTGATCTTTCCAAGGAGGTGCAGCCTGCAAGATGATGCATGCCATACGTACATGCAGCGTGCTCAGTGTGCTCCATCTTAGATAGTTTAGTTATTAGAGACGCTATAATCTTAGTGCCTCATGACCTGACCAACCATCGATGATACCCCATCGTCAATACTTCCTTCTCCATAATTGCCTCGCTGACCACTTCGAAATAACAATTGGAGTAGCTCGCCCCACTGGCAATACCGCGCTTGGCCGGCTGGCGCCTCGAGCTGAGCTACTTCGTAGTGATACGCCAGGAGCCATATTTGGTACTGTAGCAATAGAAGTAGTGTACTCCGTCCATAGGAACAAAAGTTGCAACGGGGTCGGGGAGGGTTCAAGGTCCAGGGTCTGAGGCACTTTGGTAGTGACCACCAGAGCAATTTCCCAAGAAAAAAAACCTCGTGCTAAACTAGTTGGACTCGCCCTCAGGCGGTAAGTCGTCCCAAGGTGCTAACGAGACCGGGAAAGGAGCAACGGACGGGGGACGATGTCCTTGTCGTCCCTTGTCTATCATCATCAACGAGGCAAGGACGTAGCAGTCGCGCGTGAATATGTGAGTGCTTCATTCTACCACACGGATCCTGTGTGATCCAGGACGTTTGAGTCTAGCCTTGTACGCTACCAGTGTCAGCACGAGCTTCTCTCCTATCGCGCCATTGCAATTTCCGGGGAGGAACGGTGCAGCCACGCGATCTTGTGCCTAGCTCCTTCCCTGGGTCTTTTTTCTGGCCGCGAAATGTGATGAGATTTGCTGTGAGGGGCAAACCAGGGGGGAGGAAGGTGGTAGGGGATCCGTTTGGTGCAGAAGGAGTGATGGAGCTATGAAGTACGAAGTATGTGCGCACACTAGTTGTATGTACACTGCGAAGTACGAAGTACATTATTGATATCAATTGTATCTGTCTGTATCTGTCATAGTCACTGGTGCCTGTTTTCATGGAAAGAAGGAAGAAGTAATAAGGGCAATGCAACTACCAGATATCGTGTTGCACTGGCGCCGTCCTTCCCAAGCAATGTAATAGGTCGGTAGCAATTAAAAGCAAGGGCCTGGCACACAAGCTGTTTGCAGATCTTGAGTCCTGCCATGGATATAAGTCTGGACACTCCTTGTAAGTAATATGAGAATGTCACCCTCCTCGCCCGCCAGCTGTGTATGTGTATTATTATGGAAGAATCTACGAAGGGCCAAAGGTAAATTGGTAGTATTCGAGGTACTTAGCTTCGAGGGCGCGGTACTCGTATTTGTACTCTGATTTGAATAATCTTACATACTAAGACTCCATTCTAAGGGCAACGAAGGGATGGCGAGAAGCTCAACATCAATCCTTGCCGTGCTCGGCGGTTCTTGTGCCCGGAAGCTCAACCCGGTGGCCGGACCATACGTACATTAGCGCAGGCTTGTAGTGTACGCCACTATAGTCTGGTGGGCCCTCGTCCGGAAGAGGAGAATCCTGAATTGCTTCGCATTTGTTCGGTTTCCTGCTTGCTGATCGGTGATTGATGTAGGGCCCAAACACGGAGCAATCGTGTAATATACTTCGTACTTTTTGGGGAAAATGAGGCGTTTAGTGGGGGTCCGAAACATCAACCGATGGACGCCAGGATTCTGGAAATGGGGCCCATGCTTTGATGGAAAGGAATGGTGGGAACTAATATTAGGTCCCTTG